AGTTTTCCATGAAAACGTTTTATTGTGTTTTTAATTTATTTATTAAGATGGATTCTCAGATATTTATATTTTTATTTTATTTTTTTCTACCTTGAGGTCTTTTGACATGTGGAAAGTGAATTTGAATGAAAAATTTAAGCATTGTTTGCTTATTGTTCCAAGACATTGTCAATAAAAGCATTTAAGTTGAATGCGACCAACCCTGTGCTCTTTTCATTCTGGAAGTTTTATAAGATTCTGAAAGGTATTGCTGGAGACCAGTTTGTCAAGAAGGGGAGCTCCTGGAGGGGACACACCCTTTGCTTGGTCCCTTATCAAAGAGGAGAAGAAAACTCTAAAGCTGATTTGGGAATATTTTATAAATACTCATTTTCACATTGCAATACTGAAATTGTCTATTTACTGATTCTGGGGCCAGCAACCTACTGTGTAATAGCTTTTGAGGGAACATGTCTTTCTGCTTTTTTTTTTTTTCACCTGTTTTGACAGTCAAAGGGGGAAATATTTAAATCTAGTCATGCTAATACTAAATTTAGATGTCTTGATCTTAAAGGAATTCTTTCAGCAAACAGAACTAAGCTTTGCACAAACCATTTTAAGTTTTTATTCCGACAAAATCATATGAAGGGTTGCTCCTACCTTAAAGGTGAGCAAATTGAAGAATGGTAGGATGAATGACTTTCAGTATCCCACCACTGGCATTAGATCTTAACCCCCCACTCTTTATCCTATCCGGTAGGCTGAACAGCCTCTTAATATTTGGTTAAAATAAGTTTTTACTTGATTAAAAAAACTTTTCAGTCCTTTAACATAAATACATTTGGTTGGACTGTTTTATTTTCGAAAGGAAAAGAGGGCTATCGTCCTATCCAATAGTGATAAATGTATTGTAATTTCTGAATTTTCTTTAACGCCATATGCCCTTCATTCAGTTTTATGCCAGGGGAAGAAAAAGGCTCTGAGGATTTGAAAGAGCTCTCAAACAGTACAAATGATGGTTGATCATTCTGTAAACAAAAAGTTACATAATAGCTCAATAAGGCGAAGTCAACATGACTCTGAATAAGCTTTAACTTAGAAATTTTATCGTCTTAAAGAATAACATGGCTTTGTCTGGGACACCTCAGGTAATGGGGCACTTACACGAATAACCACATAGAAAAGAGACTGTGGCCTCTCTACTCCCGCTCTCAAGTACCATGCAGGCACCATGCTTGAAAGCCAGAGACTGTTTCCATGCTTAGGGGGAAGAGGAGCTTCAACGCCAGTCTTCTAATACTTTGGTGATAATGAAAATCACTGGGTGGTTATGGAGTGTCACACTCAGCCAAGTCAAAAATTTTAATTTAAAATGACAGTTCCATTGAGCTTAATGTTCTCACCTATGATCTCCCTGCTCCTCCCACAGTAACTGATATTTGAGAGCAACTTACTTATGGCTCTTTAGGTCACTCCCATATCACATACCACTTAAGTATTCTTTTTGCCAGTCTTGCAATAATGAAAGTGGCCTTAGGCTCCCTGTTTGCTGTTCAAAGGGTAAATATTCTATAGCCTTTAAATATGACCTAAAGTAAATACAGAATTAATAACTACCAGCCGGATCTGAAATAGCAAGGCGATACTCTGTAAGCGGCCAACTCCCTTAAGTGCACAGTAATAACAACCTGAGGAAGGAGATTTCCCAGATGGAGAGGGGCAGCTGGACCTCCAGCCCCAAACACTGACCTGCTCCTAGGGATTTTGCTAATGGCTCTGGTCAGCTCCGTGCTGCCTTTGGAGTGAGAGTATCGCTTTCCCTATGACAGCCCTGTCCGAGGCCAGACACAGACCCTTCCTCTAGTTCACCATAGCCCAGCTCAGACCAGGATGCTCCAGCAACAAGACTGTCCAGGGAGAGGCAATCTCTTTAACAGACTTCTCAGAGGTCATAGGGTTGGTACCAACTGAGTTCCCTGCTGACCACTTCCCGGGAATTGAGAGAAGAAAGGAATTTCCTCTCTTTCCAGCTAAAAGGCTCCTTCCAAATCCTCCTTTACTGACTCAGCATTCAACCACTCCCATGATGACTGACACTGGAAATGTCAACTTTTTTTGGAAAAGACTTCAATCCTCACCCACAAGACATGGCCTCACACCAGTCTCAATAAAATAACTATCTCAGGGCACCACCATTCAACATTGATAAAAGACTCATTCGTGTAATAGAAGGGGATGGGGGCAGGAGTCATTTCCTATGGGGACCCTGTCTAGTTTAGCTCACCATTGAATCCCCAGACCTAGCTCAGTGCCTGGCACATTGTACAGGGTTAATGAGTATTTTGCTCAGTGGGTGAATGAATAAATTCTGCACTAGTTCCACAAGCTGAAATATATCCCACACATATTCTCCAACTTCTCCTATTCTGGGCCCTGTTAGGATATTAGGCAATGGGAATTTCACATCTTTTACATCTGGCTGTAAGCACACACCCCACCTCCATCCTTGGCTCCTGGAATTCCTCCACTGCCTCCCCGGGATTACCTCTGCCAACTCAACTTCAAAGTGAATGCATCACCACTGCACTTCTGGCTCCAAATTAATTTTAGATGGAATACGGGTAGAAGAAAAATATTTATTTCTGTAGAACAGTGGACTGTAGCTTCTGCATCATCTTTGCATATCACTGCATCTTGTTAATTATCAAAATTAAAGAGTAGCATTTAATAATTTGTTCTAATAACAGTAATTTTGTATCCCCAGCAATTCCCAGACATGAATGAAAGTAAATCAATTATGTTATCTCTAATTAATGGACAGAGAAGAGACTGAGGCACTAACACAAAATCAATCTTTAAATAGTGTATCAGACTCCTTCCAAATATAGAATAACCAAATTCCTCAAAAAGTAAATGAGATACTAGCATCACTTGAATGCTGAATAGCAGAGTGCTTTAAATTGTGCTGTTTTGCTATTAACATTAAAGAGTTGATACTTGATTCCTGTGTAACTCCATCTCATGTCCTTCTCCCCTGTAGTCACTCTGTTCACAGGACTTCCCCTTCCATTCCTGACACATATAATGCTTGCTCCTGCAGCAGGACCTTTGCATTTGCTGTCCCTGTGCTTGGCCTCTTTCTCCAGGCTGGCTCCTTCCTGTCATTCTGGCCTCAGCTCAAAGGACATCGCCTCTAAGAGGCCTCCTCTGGTCATTCTATCTAGGGTAACTTCTGCACACTCTCCCTGCCCAGTACTCTTTATCTTATTAACCCGCTGGGTTCATTTTTACAGCACCTATCACTATCTGCAACATCTAATTTATGTTTTCCTTTTTAAAAACTTTCTGCCCCTCACCACTGAACTGTAAGTTCCATGTGAGCAGGAACCTTTTCTGTCTTGATCACATCTGTATCCCGTGTCTATTAGGTACTCAAACGCTTGTTGAATGAATGGAGATGGTGAATGAATGAATGAAGAATGAAAATTACAAAAATGTCTAAAGGAGGGCTGGCCCGTGGCTCACTTGGGAGAGCGTGGTGCTGATAACACCAAAGCCACAGGTTTGGATTCCTATAAAGGGTGGCCGGTTAGCTCACTTGGGAGAGTGTGGTGCTGGCAACACCAAGTCAAGGGCTGGGATCCCCTTACCAGTCATCTTTTGAAAAAAAAAAATGTCTAAAGGGAGACAACTAGAACTTAAAAGTGAAGATGACCTGTTTAATACATAGATTTCTTTCAGGGGAGAAGAACATGCCCCTTAAAAAAAAAGAAATCTGTCAAGCGTTCTGCAATATTAAGATGAGGAACCAGCTAGCTTGGGAAGAAATTTTATTTTATTTTATTTTATTTTTATAGAAAAGATGACTGGTAAGGGGATCTCAACCCTTGACCTGGTGTTGTCAGCACCACGCTTTCCCAATGGAGAGGAACGAGAGGTAATTAGGGGGTAGGACTGTCAGGACTTGGTGACTGAGTGGATGTGGGAGGCGAGGGAGAGGGAGGAATCCAAGCTCACTCTCAGGTTTACCAGGCTTGACACACAAAGAGAATTGTGGTTCTACCAAAGAGTTTGTGACTATAGGAAGAAGAGCAGACTTGGAGGATAAAAAGGCAAGTTCTATGTTGGATATGTTGAGTTTGTAGCCTGTGGAATACTCAGGGGGATATGGAGGCAGTTCAAATTACACAATAGTTCAAATTACTCTATGATATGAGTTTATAGAGCTTGTTTGGAGGAAGATGGCCAGCATAGAACCTGGAGCCCTGGGATACTATATCGAAAATGGCTAATGTTTCACATGTGCCAGGGTGTGCTATGCACTTTACAAGCAATGCTAAATCAGAGACCAGATTTGCATCGCTTATCATTGTACCTCTAGCAACTGGCACATAATGGGCATACAATAATTATTTTGTTGAATGGATGCTCTCATTTAGTTCATACAACAGTCCTAGGAGGCAGATATTATTAATATCCTCATTTTACAGATGCAGAAAATGATCTAGGAAAGGTTAAATAAGTTGATCAAGGTCACAAAACTGGGTAAGTAGCAGATCTGAGATTTGAACCCAGCTCTTGTGACTCTAAAGCCCAAAGTGCTTAACTACATTGCTGGAATGTTAAAATCTGCCCCCAAAGATGTACTTATGTGACCCAGGGTGAGCCTCTAATCCCTCTGATATTGTTTCTTATGCCATACCAGGGGTGGGTTTCAAAAATCTCAAAACTCCCTTTCCAGTTTCAAAATTCTGATGAGATCAGATGACTGCTGGGAAACATACTAAAGGGGCCCATACCACATCATTCTTAGGTACTTGATGTTTTGGTAGCAATGCTGGGGCATGTCCTGTGGCTGACACTTCTTGTATTCCTCTCCTGGAGCCTTTTTAGTACCCGAGCAGTGTGTGCAGTGCTGCAGTGGTGAACCAAACATGGAGAGGTGGGAGCAGTCTGTCCCACTGCAGCCGATGAGGGTCTATTAGTGTCCTACTTCTGTATCACAAGTTACCACAAACTTAGCAGCTTAAAACAACACACATTTATTATGTCACAGGTTCTACAGGTCAGGAGTCCAGGCACAGCCACTTGCTCATCTGGCGAACTCCACCCATCTTCTGAACTGAACAGTGTTCTGTTCAAGGCCTCACAGGTACAAATCAAGATGTCAGATGAGCTGCATTCTCGGCTGGATACTTGAATGGTGAAGAGCCCACTTCCAAGCTCATTCAGGTTCTTGGCAGACTTTCTTTGTGGCTGCAGAACTACAGACTCTGGCTTTTTGCTGGCTGTTGGCTGCAGGCCACCCTCAGGTCCTAGAGGCTCCTGTGTGAGATTCTTCAAGATGGCTGCTCACTCCATCAAGGGGGCAAGGAGAGCCTTTCTAGTGGGTGCTAGCAAGATGGAGACATATGTATTGTGACATAATTATGGGAGTGACATCCCATCACCTTTGGATTTTCTATTGTTTTGAAGCAAGTCTCAGGTTCTACCTGCACCCAACGGGAGGGAGTTACACAAAGGTGTGGACGTCAGGGAGCAGGAATTATTGGGGGTCACCCTAGGGTTTGTCATTCACAAGGGGTCACATTACCTACTTAGTATTTAAAAATAATTAAAAAACCAACCAAAGTTGGTCTGCTTTTTTTATGAACACCATGAGCTGGCAGTTCCAGGTGTCAGTGACAAAATACTCCTTCCTGAAAAAATCTTTTGTAGTGTTAAGTTCTAAACAGCTGTTGGGATTACTACTGTTTTGAATAATGAATCTGTAAATTTCATTTAAAAATTACTTGTCCTTTAATAAGAACTGTATTCTACATGGAAGTGAACTCCCAGTTATTCTAAGAGTTGGCCCCCAACATATGAACTCAGCTATATACCTTCATTTAAGAATAAATTTATAATAGTTCAGAATGATCTCACATTTTGGGTGCGGTAAATGTCTCTAACCTCTACAGAAGTACATAACAGTAGATTTGAAATAAGGAAAGATAACACAGTGACTGTGAAGACAAGGAAACTGAACTTGAGTTACTTTAGTTCTGTTATGCTATATGACTATTTGGAGTTTATATTTGTGTTTAAAATTTAAAATTGTGAGGCAGTGAAATGTAATGTTTTGTCATGTTTTTATTTGGTAAGTGCACATTTTAGTTTATATATGAAATATTTTTACTAGATTTAAATAATATCTTGAAAGCGGAAAATTCCTTTCAAATTATTTTAAAACTAAAGAACAAATCGAGAAATCATTACATCGGTAGTATGATTTAGTAGTTGTACCACTAATACTAAGTAAGCTTCTTGTGCTGCCTTGGAATAAAAATAAACAGCTAGCACTGAAGTGGACTCACGATGTGCTAGACACTGTTCCAAACACACACACACACACACACACACACACACACACACTCATTTAAAAAAATCCTCACAACTACTTTCTAAGGTAGGCCCTGCTATTATCCTTCTGTTATAGATAATAATATAGTCTGGGGCGCAGAAGATTTTGATCTGCTCAAGATCATCCAGTGGCTGAGCTGGAATTTCAGCCTGGGCAGTGTGGCTCCAATGCCCGCACTCTTAGCCACTAGTATGGAAAGGCAAAGCAAAACCAAAATCCCCAACAACCTTGCAGGCCGCTGCACGCTCTCAGAAAGGACAGGAGGGACATTCTCCTCTCCATTCCTGAACAGCCCCTGCCGGCTCCCGGGCGGAGGTAGAGCTGGCTTCCCAGGGACCTCCCCAGAGGGACGTTTGGGAGGTGCTCTCTGGCGTCCCCTCCGCTGCCCTCTCAGCTCCCTCGCGGCACCCCTGCCCTCGTCTGCGAGGCCAAGGTTTCTCCTGGCCCTTCCCAGCTTCCGGCCCTTTGCTCCAGGTCAGGTCGCTAGGGCAGGCGGTGCCAGGAGCTCGCGAGTCCTCTATTTACTGTTTGGTTTCCACGGTGACACGTAGGCGCCGTCTGCACCGCCCATCACCCGCCCCGCCGCGCTGCCCCCACCCGGCGCCGTGACGTCGGCCCGCCGCTTCCGCTCTGCCCATATTAGGCAG